GATATTTTCTAGTTCTATCCATTTGCCTAAGAATTTTTCAAATTCATTGTTTTTAATAGCTGAGTAGTACTCCATTGTGTAAATGAACCACATTTTCTGTATCTGTTCCTCTGTTGAGGGACATCTGGGTTGTTTCCAGCTTCTGGCTATTATAAATATGACTGCTATGAACAGAGTAGAGCATGTGTCCTTATTACATGTTGCAGCATCTTTTGGGTATATGCCCAGGAGTGATATAGCTGGGTCCTCAGGTAGGACTATGTCCAATTTTCTGAGGAACCGCCCAACTGATTTCCAGAGTAGTTGTACCAGCTTGCAATCCCACCAGCAATGGAGAGGGGTTCCTCTTTCTTCACATCCTCACCAGCATCTGCTATCACCTGAGATTTGATCTTAGCCATTCTGACTGGTGTGAGGTGAAATCTCAGGGTTGTTTTGATTTGCATTTCCCTGATGACTAAGGACATTGAACATTTTTTTATGTGCTTCTTGGCCATTCGAGTTTCCTCAGTTGAGAATTCTTTGTTTAGCTCTGTACCCCAGTTTTTAATAGGGTTATTTGGTTGTCTGGAGTCTAATTTCTTCAGTTCTTTGTATATATTGGATATTAGCCCTCTATCAGATGTAGGATTGGTAAAGATCTTTTCCCAATCTGTTGGTTGTCGTTTTGTCCTATTGACAGTGTCCTTTGCCTTACAGAAGCTTTGCAACTTTATGAGGTCTCCTTTGTGGATTCTTGATCTTAGAGCATAAGCCATTGGTGTTCTGTTCAGGAAAGTTTCCCCTGTGCCTATGTGTTTGAAGCTTTTCCCCCACTTTCTCTTCTGTTAGATTCACTGTATCTGGTTTTATGTGGAGGTCCTTGATCCACTTGGAATTGAGCTTTGTACAAGGAGATAAGAATGGATCAATTTGCATTCTTCTACATGTTGACCACCAGTTGAACCAGCACCATTTGTTGAAAATGCTGTCCTTTTTCCACTGGATGGTTTTAGCTTTTTTATCAAAGATCAAGTGACCATAGGTGTGTGGGTTCATTTCTGGGTCTTCAATTCTATTCCATTGATCTGCCTGCCTGTCTCTGTACCAATACCATGCAGTTTTTATCACTATAGTTACTGAAAAAACGGGATTATTTTCTTGGTTCCTATTTTAGATAATTTGCTATTGGTATTTAATAACATTAGTTTCTACATTTTGTATCTGGCAACTTTCCTAAATTTGTGTATTAATCTCTATAGGTGTTTGGTCGAGTCTGAGTTTTTCTCTATGTAAGAGCACGCCATCTGCAAATATCGACAATTTCAAGTTCTCATTTCCATTTCATTTGTCTTTATCTCTGTCCTTTGCTTGATTGCTCTGCCTGGGGCTTTCAGCCCTATGCTGAATACAACTGGTGGTCTTGCTCTGGATATTATGAGAGAATGTCCTCAGGTTTTTCTTATGCAGTACAAAATTAGATGCTAGCTTATTGTATTCTGTTGAAGTATATGTATTTTCTTTCTACACCTAAGTTGTTCAGTGTTGAGTGTTGAATTTTGTCAAAAGCATTTTCATAAATTGAGGTGATCAAATAGCTTTTGTCCTTCATTTTGACAGTATACTTTATTTTGCTTACTGATTTAGATATGTTTACCTATTATGAATAATAATAATGATAATAATAATAATAATCTTTTTAATGTTTGCTAATGTTTTGTTGAGGATTTTTGTATCTGTGTTCATCAGAGTTATCACCTTGTTACAGCTGAGATGTTCTTGTGTGGTTGTGGTAACAGTGGAATAAGGCTGGTATCAATGTCTGTTTGGAAAGGTGCCCTCATATTGCATTTTGTGGAGTAGGGTAAGAAGAACCTGACATAAGTTCTTCTTTAAATCTTTGGCAGAATTTAGCAGTACAGTTATCTTGTTCTGGACTTTTCTTTGATGGGAGACTTGCTTTTTAAATCACAGATTCCGTTTCATTTCCTGTTATTGTTCTCTTCAGTTTTCTTCTACATCATGGTTCAGCTTCTGGAAAGCATATGGGTTCAGGAAATTATCAGTTTCTGTGTTACCCATTGTAATGTCTCTTTTCATCTCTGATTTTTTTTTTTTAAGTTAAGGACTCACTACATAGCCCTGGCTGTCCTGGAACTTGCTATGTAACAAGGCTGGCCTCAACCTCACAGAAATCTGCCTGTACTAGGATTAAAAGAGCATGCTACCACATATGGCCATATGTGATTTTTTTTAAAAAGTCTTTCTCATGTGTACATAGGGTAGGAGTGTACACTTGTCACAGGCCCTCTTAGGGAAGCAGAGGCAGACACTGAATATCATGCAGCTGTAGTTATAGGCTTTGTGAGGCCCTTGTGTTGGTGTTAAGAGCCAGTTCAGGGCTTCTGTGTAAGCAATACACATTTAACAGCCCCCAGCTGTTCATACTTTGATTTTTCGTGTTTATGCTGATTTAGTTTTTGTCAATTTGACGCTCAGCCAGGTCATCCAAAGAGTGAACCTCAATTGAAAAAAAATCATATTGGCCTGTAATCAAGTCTGTGAAATATTTTCCCCCCCCAAATAGTATTTTTAGTAATTATTTGAGAATTTCATACACAACGCATATTACTAATCACTATATGATCACGGCAAATGCACCCAAATCACACTCTCTTCCCATTCCTCCCAGGTCCACTCTCCCACCCTTATGCTCACCCACCCCCAAAATACACCAAGTCCAATTTGTGCTGCCCATATGCTCATTGGAGTACGGTCAATCTCCCAGTGACCAGCCCCTTAAAGAAAACTGAGTCCTTCCCAACCCCCACCAGAAACCAACTATGAAGAGCTACACTTCAACATCTTTATCACAGTTTTTAAGGACTCTTCAATGGCTTCCTGTCTGGACTATTTCTTTTTGTTTTCGGGGGCAGGGAGTCACAGAAGCCATCAGTGTGTCTCAGTCTCGGGAGTCTTCAGTCATTGATCCCACTACAAAAGAAGCTTCCCTGTCTACGGCAGCCTGCAGCAGCACAAATCATAAACTTCCATGTGGTTCCCTGTGGCAGGAACATAGACATCCATACAGCCTCCAGCAGCAACATGAAACACAGACCTCAACATGGTCTCCAGACATTAACATGAATTCCAACTGCATCATGAACCACAAACCATTCCAGCCCCAGTGTGGACCATAGACATCAACACGGTCTCCCGTGGCAGCCCTGATCATGGGCATCGACATGGCCTCCTGCCACAGCATGGATCATAGAGGCCTTTTTAGGAGGCTTAATCTAGAAAATAAACCAGTCTTCATCTTGGAGATCTTATTGTTCAGAATTAGGGGCAGGACCTGCAAGAACTTCAGGCTGTTGTATACTACACTGCTCTTGGCACCAGCTGCTCTTCAGGTACCCCAAGCATGACAATTGTGTTTGTAGCACCACCACCCTGTGCTCTCTCCTCCCCAGCAGAAGCCTGAGTGGAGGTGCCCGTGACTGTGCTCCCACCGTGGCTGTGCTCCCACACCTGTTGCCACCACATCTCTAGTTGCACTTTTTGGCTATGCATGCCATTCCTTCCACCACTTTTTGTCCAATTCCATGAAACCACCTTTAAAAAAAAATCTTCCCATAAGATTGCTTTTTGTTGTTATTGTTGTTCCAGAGATACTGAGCACTCTGCAGGCTTATCCTCCATGGCAGCATCTCCCTCGGAGCCTCTGTGGGTCTCTCAGACTCCTTAGAGCAGCACACAGCCCCGCAGGTGTCAGTGTCTGCAGCTGTCTTGAAACAAGTCTCCCATTTTCTAGCTTACTTATTGGTGTGTGCAGTGTCCGTGGGTGACAATACTGGTCGTGTAAGGAAGTAAACTGACCAGTCCATAGGGAACATAAGAAGAACCAGTGTTCCTCCGAGGACTTTGCTTCACTTTCTGCCTCCAGGTTTCTATTCCGCTTGAGTTCCTGCCCTGGCTTTACTCAGTGATGGACTGTGATTAGGACATGTATGTCAAATAAACCCTTTTCCCCACAGGCTACTCTGGCTATGGTCCTCATCATAGCAACAGAAAACAAACTATAGCTGCATTTGTTATCATCTCTTTCATTTTCTTATGGTCTGAAATGTTTTCTATTTCCTTCTTCTAATTTCGTGTTTGGCTTGTTATCATTTGTTCTGTGACATGTAGCCATCAGTTGTGTAGTTAAGCTTTTCTGTGTCTGTCACCCGGCTATTGACTTTCGAGAACTTGACTCTTGACACTTTTTGCCCTATCACAGAGTTTTGATGTATGTGCCTCCACTCTCATTTGTTTCAAGAAAAAAATTAAATTCATTTCTTGATCATTGGCTATTCAAGAATAAGTTATTTAACATTCACTTGCATGTATAGTGTTGAAATTTTTCTTACTGATTTCTAGTTTTATAGCAACATGATTGAAAAAGATACTTGATATGACTGTGGGGCTTTTAAAAATCTTGTGTTCATGATGGTGGGAGATTGTGTGTGTGTGTGTGTGTGTGTGTGTGTGTGTGTGTGTGTGTGTAAATGTGGCCTCAGGTATTGAACCTCGTCTTCTACTTCATTTGAGGCATTGCCTTCTGTTCACCACAGCGTATATGAGGCTAGCAGGCTCGAGAGCTTCTGCGATTATCGTGTCTCTGCTTCCCATCTTGCTGTGGGAGCTCCGATATTCTAGAAGCATGCTACCACACCTGGCTTTCTGTGGGTTCTGGAATTCTAAACTCAGGTTCTTCCTCTTGTACAGCAAGCACTTTACCCACTGAGCATCTATTTCCTCAGCCCTTGACTTCTGGCCAGCTGCTCTCGAATGGATGTGACAGAGCAAGGGAGTGACAAGTCAGCGTGACTGGGATTTCACTCCAAAGCAATATCTGTGTTGTTAAAGAGTAAGCATATTATGTTGTGAATGAATCCCATCTGAGGAGATGGGAATTGGAACTCTGGGCGATCCTGAGGGTTGAGTCCCCACTCATCTGTTGGGTTTGTGGTTTTCAGGGAATTGATGCTGGTTTCTCATCAGAAAAGCATCCAGCAGCTGCAGGAAACCCTGAGACAGAAGCTGCTGAGTGATGACAGCTGGAGGGAGAAGGTAAGACTGTGGTTCAACTGCATGTGTCTAGCTTGCTTTTAAAACATTGTATTAATTTGCCCAAAGACTGTTCCAGATAGGTGTCTTTGCTTTGGCCAATTCTTCTGCTTCCATCTGGAAACGTCCTACTCTGAATATACTTAAGATATATGCATTTTCCAAAATATTAGATAATGTGGTAAGAAGTAAAAAGGGAAAATGAAAAAATAGATTTTGTAATCCTGTGATCTTAGGATATTTCTTGGTTCTTATGCAGAAAGCATTTTAATCTTTAAATATTAACTTTTTTCCAGCAAGTATCAGAATCTAAATTTGATCATATTTAATAAACTATAGAAATACTAATAACTCTCATTTCTTTGCTCCTAAGATAAGAGAATAGAAATGATTTTAAATTATTAGTTATTCAACTGTAACCATTTTACTCTGGTAAAGTTAAATGAGCAAATGTAAGAACTGTTTTTTCTCCGAGCATGAAAACAGTCCACTGTGGTCTTTAGACTTCGCTATATTTTTCAAGGTTTCAACAAAGAATAACTTAAATATGTTTAAATATCATAAGTCGGGCTCTGTAAGCTGTTAGTTCCTTTCTCAGCAGCACAGCGCCTCCTTGACACAAGTTTCAGTCCTCCTCACTGACCCATGGGGACCACCCTGCACATGAAGTCTGAGCCTTCCCACCTTCCCTCCAACTACATCTGTACCCAGCACAGGTCCTCTTCCTCAACTGTAGCATTTGTTACAACAAACTGGGAGTAGCGCTGGGTTTGAAACCCAAAGCTATGAACATGCTAGGCCAAGCCCTGCCTGAGAACTACACGCAGCCTCCAGCACACTGATTTCCTGTGGCTTACATTTTCTCTATAACTGGAGCTTCCTGCTGAAATTCAGGTGGTGTAGCTCTGGACCTCATAATTTGTTCAGCTACTACAGATTCTTCTTGGGGACTGAATCCTTTGCTTATAACCTCAGCCACTTCCCAGCTGTTGGCTCCTCTTGTAGTTCCTCCCTGTGCCACCCTGCTTATTGAAACTCCTTATGCACTGTTAATGGCTCTGCTGGATTCTAAATTTGTCACTTCCATTTCTTGTTGTCAGACATCCTCAACCAGTACTAGCCTGCTATGAATCAATACCTTCTTCTTTGTCCTTAGATAGATTATGACTATAAAATTACCATCTGGTTATGGTCTTAACACACCTGTTACCCCAGTGCTAAGGCTGATGCACAAAGAATCTGACATTGAGGCCAGCCTGGACTGAAGAGGGCCTAGGTGAGGAAGAAAATCACTGTTAAGTATAGTTGTACATAGGTGGGAATAAAATTTGAGACTATGGGCTGGAGCTGCTGTAAATGCCTCAGTCTTACTTCATATGGTCGGCCTAGTTCTTCTTATGTAAAGCTCTCACTTAGAGTTTTTGATGATACTTGGTCTAGTTAAATAGATGGTCTGCTCTTGTTCCTTTCCCTGATTCTTATCATTCAAATGTTTTAATACTCAAAAGGATGACCTTTCAGCATGCGCAAGGCCTTGGGTTCCATTCCAGCACCACCCAGATCATCAACCAAACAGTCCAAAACAGGGGACACTTTAATGACTGGATGTTAGAGTAGTTTGGGCACTGTGGTAAAGGCCTGGAAAAATAGTCTGTCATGACCACAAGTCTTGAGATGAAAGCAGCTCTTTGTAAAGTGGTTTGAGAATATTTATTATGAGATTGCCTAGACTCAGACTATTGCGTTGTGATAGAGTTAACCAGGCTAGAGAGATGGCAGTCATTTTCTCCAACCCCTAAGGTCTGATGGAGTGAACGTTCCTGCCTTCCCTGAGAAGCTCTCCCTGTTCACATCCCACTGGGGTTTGGGGGTGCATTCTATTGAAGAAAAGTCTTTATGGATCATTCTAGTCCTGCTCAGAGATTAAGAAAATGCTAGCATCTGACAGTGCTGTCACCTTGTCCAAAGGTAGCCTGATAGTGAAAAGGATCCTGTGCAGATCAGGATGGTTCCTCCTCAGAGCTTGCTCTCTCTACTACATGTCGCCGACCTCATAGATGTCCTGTGGTGTGTATAATCTCCTAGATTATAAAGTTGAGAAACCGTCACTTCATAATGAATGTTACTATTTAACCAGCTGTAAATCATGATCAGATCAGTGAAACCAGAAAATAATAAGAACGTCTTGACTGTGTTAGCTATTAAGACTGTGAATAAAAAGTTCCTTAAAAGTCCTCTCGTGAGAAAGGAGACTCACTCATATGACATTGTCATCTGTCTTGGGTCGCTGTGCCTTTGCGTAGGAATGAAATGTTCTCTTTACAAATATGTAACATACAAATTAGAATAAACTTAATAACTTAAATGCTTTTAATGTTTTTAAAAAGTAGGTAGCATTTTGTACCTGTGCTTAATTATTTTAAAGTATGTAAGGAACACATAATGGGATCAATAGTTGCTATGCAACAGAGAGGGCATATTTTAAAATAACTGTTTACTAATTGTCATGAATTTTTGTTTATTTTAAGTATTGCTTGGATACAAAGAAAGCAAATTAATGGGCATGGTGAACCTTTAAAATTGGTTCCAAATGCACAATATTGTTACTATTCATGTAAAATTTTGTGATGAAAAAGCCCTCTTGCAGCTTGAATAATTACATAACTAATTCATATTACTTGTTGACACTCTTCAGTATAGCAGACAAATTACAACCAAATATTTTCTTAGATTATCATTAACATATTACAGTCTAGAAACATTTTGGAAGTATATTTATTACCTCATTTTCAGTACGTACTCCTTTTGAAAACAAACACTACCTTATTTCCTGGCTAGAATAACCAGATTGACAGTGGAGTAAACTTCACTTCAAGAAATAATCAATTCCAGTTTTGCCAGATTGATGGCTCATGTCTTTAATCCCAACACTAAGGAGACAGAAATAGGAGAATCTCTGTGAATTTGAGACCAGCATAGTCTATGCAGAAGAGTTTCAGGTCAGCCAGGGCTACATAATGAGACCCTGCTCAAAAACAAACAAACAAACAAACAATGGAATAATAAATTCCAAGTTAGAAGGAACATAAAAAACTTTTCCAATAGACAGTTCAAGTGACCTAATGATTCCTAATGTGTTGTAATATGCTATCAATGAAGGAAAAAGTAGCACACAAAATACAAAGTTTGACAAGGATGAAGTTATTTATAGATAATGTCCCTTTTAATTGTACCTAATAAATATATGACTAAAATATTGAGGGCATAGTTTAATTTTTAAAATTATTTTATGTAATTTTAATGATTCAGCTAATAAAATCTAAATATTTTAGATCTAGAATCATCTACAAGGAATGTCTGATACAAACCATTAATCCAGATAACAAAATAGTCCCCATTCTTAGAGTGCTTACTGTACACCAGGCTTTGTGCTCAGTGATTTTTATAAGTGTGAGTTTATAAGTTTAATTTTTATGACATCATTGTTCCAGTTTTACAGATGAAAAATAAACAAACCTGGGAGGAGTCATATAATATATATCAAGGCTATAAGTGCAAGGAAATGAGCTGGCATTAACTGCATCCTCCAGTGTCTTAAGTATCCAAGATGTCTGTGTTTCACCAGTGTACAGTCACAATGATCAGATTGACTCTTCCATCTGAACAAATAAAACCCCGGGGGGGGGGGTGTGAAACACAAAACTGTGGTTTCAAGACATCTGACAGTGACAGGATGCTGGTGACAGTCCTGTGACTGTGGTAGTTTAGTCCCTTGACAGTCTGCAGACGGTGACAGAGGAGACCAGGAACTGGCTAAACTTGGCATCTGCTTTGAACTGAGGAGTCTGTTGGAGGTTAAAGTAGCAACAGTTCTCAAAGCGTTTGCAGAAGAACATCCTAAAGAGGAGAGATAGGGTGTGGTCTAGCACATGCATGTGGGCAAGCTTTAGCCAGGGAAGGCCAATCTGAGAGAAATAAAAACCTAACACATACAACCAGGCCTTAGCCTCTTTTCACCAGACAGACCAGAAAACCTGTAATATATAGGACACGCAGAAGGCTCTTCCATAGCTGGCATTTCATTATTGGACATTGTTAGGCCTAGATTTAATGATGGTCTGATCCTAACAAATGTCAAAAGGAAGACCTAAAATAAGTTAATTCTAAGACACTCCACCATTCCCCAGATAGATACTACACATAGTCATAGGAATACCAACAGCCAGGTTCTGGAAGACAAACAGAAGTGAACACAAGCAGCTACCAAGGTAAAACTCACAGTGCCTGGTTTCTAATCCATAATTTTCATACACAGAAAGAACTAGAAGAATAGAACTCATAATGAAAAGAAAAATCAATGACTAAAAATCCAACCAAGACAGGCTGCAGAATTGTCCCAGTCTCCCAGAGGACCCAGGTTCAGTTCCCAGCACCCACATGGTAGCTCCCAACTGTCCGTAACTCTAGTACCAAGGGATCTGAAGCTTTCTACTGCACTTACATGATACATTGACATACGTGAAGCACAACACTATACCCATAACATGAAAATAAATATTTTAAATGACTCAGAAAGACAAGGATGCTAAGATTAGAAGATAAGAAGGTTAAAACAATTGATGTGCTAGCCGTGCCCAAGAGGTAAAGGAAAATGTTATCATGTTGAGTTTATCATGTTTAAGTTTAGTCATGCCAGCTATAAACAAGATGTAAAGTGAAAGCTGCAAGAGCACAGTCAGACAAGAGGACACTGATTAATAGAAAGTTAGACATCTGACAGGGAGAGTACAGTGTACCTGACAACACAGCAAACGGAAAGAAATGCTTTTCTATTAAAACAAGATTTCCTTTTAAAGTCTCAAAAAGTGAAAAGCAGAGCATCGGGTTATGAGAGAAGCCTGATCCGTGCTTTAGAATCCCTGAAGATCAGAGAGGAGAATGGAGGCACACGTGTCTGAACAGGTGATGGGGAGATGTTGATGAATTAAATGGAAATAGATTTG